CATTTATGTGTGTATGAGGTAATGATACAAACTGTACTTCTGAGTCAAGGTCAAAAAGTTTGAGCTTCTGTCACAGATGGAAGGAGTATATTCAGCACAAATCAAGATCCCTACTTGAATTGTACTTAGTTTCGAATTGTTCTGAGATAGTTCCTTTCTCTCTTTCTCTCATCAAAAAATCATTTGAGAGTTGGTTATGTTTTTTCACTTTAGCCTTAAAAGACTTCAGGATTTGGCAAGTCAATGCTTGATTTCCTAATTCTGGGTGCCATCTTGTGGTCTTTCAGTTACAATGCAGTATACTTTCTTTAATAGAAAACTTGCAAATCTTGTTTCTGCTGTTCTATTGGAATTGTATAAATGGCTAGAGCTTGATGTTAATGAAGTCAAGACTGCAGATTTAATTAACTTCTGTCTAGCTTTGGAAGCACACTGGACCCTACCCTTATCTAATCAACTCTAAAGTATATGCCATTTCCCAGTAGATAATTGTGGGAAAGGAAGACCAGTCAGTGCTTCATTTCTTGATGTCAGGTGACAAGTATAGTTGTCCTTTCTTATCCGATGAGTATACATTCCCAAGACCCTCAGCAGATGCCTGGAAACTGTGGATAGTACCAAACCCTATATATATATATAAAACTGCTTTTTTGTATACAGACAGACTATGGTAAAGTTTAATTTATAGATTAGGTACAGTAAGATATTAATAATATTAATACTATACAATTACAGTCATATACTGTAATAAAAGTTCTATTGAATGTGTACTCTCAAGATTTTATTGTACTCATCCTTCATCATGTGCTGTGGTATGATGCTTGTGTGATGAGATGAAGTGAGTGATGTAGGCATTTTGACACAGCATTAGGCCACTTCAGGAGGGTCACTTGAATACAAACACTGTGATACCAATATCTCAACTCTCACCCTGGTAATTGAGATGGTTACTAAGTGCCTAAAGGCAGGTTAGCATATTCAAGTGTGGATATGGTAGATGGTTCATGTCTCAGGTGGGATGGAGCAGGTTGTGCAATATTTCATCTTACTACTCAGAATGTGCACAATTTAAAACTTATGAATTATTTATGGAATTTTCCTTTCAATATTTTGGACTGTGGTCGACTAAGGGTAACTAGAACTGGATGACTGGAGCCTCAGAAAGCAAAACCACAGTGAACTATTGTACTGTCTTTCTGTAAGGACTACTTACAGGTGATATGGCCTTCAATTGAGAAATATGAAGTGGGCACCCAGCTCCCCTCCTCTGACGTCATCCTCCATCCCTCTCTCATTTTAGTTGCTTGGGTTCATCTTACAGCCTCCATGGTGGCATTTTTTAATACTTACTACACAGTATTGCATTTTTTTAAACATATGCTTTCATTTATGAGACTGTACGCTTCTTGAGAGAAGGGATTGTGTCATTTTTTTAATCCCCATTTCCCAGAAAGCCAGCCCCTTGGCCTCAATGCCAATTCACAAATAATGAGAGCAGGGTTTTGAGGAAAGGAAATAAGATTTATTGTTTGTCTGAAGAAGAGGACAGGGAGAGTCAACCTCTCAAACCTCTGTCATTGAAAATGTCTGCTTTTTAAAGGGGAGTACAGGGGCTCAGCTTGACTATGTGATGAAATGCATGTTCCAGAATGGATGCTGGCCTTGGTTTTCCAGGAGTCTGGGCTCCACATCTCCCAAGCTGTATGTCTTGACTATCAGGTTTACTTCTCTGATGGTCAGAGAGAGAGAGAGAAAGGGTGGAAGACTGCCTGATTTAATTGAAGAGTAAAGATTTGTTAATCTTGGGCTCTCCAGCATGTGGACAAAGAGGGAAAAAGTGGCAGTTTTATTAACAAGCAGTTAATTGGCCAGTATTCAAGCTGGCTACACCACAGGTTTTTCTCTTTTGTAGTACTGGACACGGCATGATTTAGGTGAATTTGGATGTTTGAGTTGGTATTTAAATTTAAAAATTGTAAGTTTGTGGGGTGTGGAATGAGCACTTGTGTGACATCCTGGGGACTAAGAAATCCCTGAAAGAGCAGTCCACCATGATCATTGGGAAGCTCTGAACACTGGCAATGCTTAACTGGGAAATATTCAACAGTAATTTGAGGGAGAAACAGGGAAGTAGAGATTGTTATATATTAGTGCACTGAAAAGATATTATCTAGGGAAGGTTCTAAGGAAGGTTCAGGTTGCTTCTTGACCTGTTTTTTGGATAAGCTCCTGTTGTCATGCCATGGTTTTGACCTCGTGCTGCACAGGCAGCTACTAAGCAGTACTAGTTTCCTACTTTTCTTAATCTGTTGCCAGCTGTCTCTACAGCGGCAATATCATTCAATTTGGGGCCCTATCATTCTTTGTTGGGGGTTGTCCTGTGCATTGTAGGATATTTGGCAGCATCCCTGGACCCTACCCACTAGATACTAGTAGCACACTTTTTTGTGATAGGGATTCGAATCTACAACTTCATGCATGCAAAGTATATGCTCTAACCACTGAGCAACTCCCTCAGCCCTTCCAATCTTGACAACTAGAAACACCTCCAGCCAGTGCCATGTTCCCTGGGGGTGAAATTCCCACCCTTATCCCATTGAGAAGCACTGCTCTAGATTATGGTAGGTCAGCTTCTTCTGGGAATAGGCCCCCTGGACAATGTCTGGGCCCCATCCTTTCTGATCACTTTTTCCAGTGTTCCACTTAGGGTATAATTTTGAAGTTACAAGGGATAAGTTTGAAGTTAGAACTGTCTTAGAAGGGACAATTCTTAAAAGGCACTAAGAAGGGGTTCATTTAATGCTTTAATATTCTTAGGCTCTTTCCATACCCAGTTAATATGAAAAGTACTGAGACAGGGTATAGTTTCACTCATCTGTTGTAACCAAGAAATTACTGTAGAATCAATACCTGCTTCAGTAAGCACCTACTCCAGTAAGCTCCTTGAAGGCAAAAACTTGTCATTTGGTCATTGATGTTTGCCAGATGTTTAGAGTAGGAGATCAATAGTCGCTTGAATGTTGAAACATTAATGACTAGTTTTGAGTGGATCTAAAAATGCTGTCCTCCTTATAAATGCACCTAAATTGAACAAGAGGCTGAACAAACTTCAAAGAAACTAAGCAACCCCAGCACTTGGGAGGCTGAGGCAACATATTTGTGAGTTCAGGCCAGCCTGTCTCAAAGAAATAAACAGGGCTGGAGGCATGACTCAATTGGTAGAGCACCTGCCTAGTAAGCATTAGGCCTGAGTTCAAACTCCAGTATCAACAAGAAAAAAACAAAAGTGATCCAGGCAGTTGGATTCACATGTTCATCTACAAATGCCTGTCACTAATCACCTGCTACATGTGACAGCTGTTTCATTCAGGAAGCTAGTAATACCACTGCCTCTTTTAATAATGATCTTTCACAGGGAGAGGGGCTTTTTGTATTTTTTTTTAACACAGGGTCTTGCTATGTATTAAGCCCGGGCTGGCCTGGAACTCTCCATCCTCCTGCTTCAACCTCTTGAGTGCTGGGATTACTGGCATGTATCACCACACCTGGTGCTTTTTTGTATTGATATAGAGAGTTAGTATGGAAGACAGGATGAGGTAAATTCTCCTGGGTTCCAGGTCCCTTAACTACATGACATGCCTATAATTATCATAAAATGATTGCCATAGTGAGGTGGCAAATAGGTTGATGAAGTAGCATTGGAATTCTTTGTATTAGCCATTTGTTAGGAGCTAGCTATATACAGCCAGGCTTGATGGTATGTGCCTGTAATCAATCCCACCTACTCAGGAGGAGGATAAAGGACCTTGAGTTCCAGGCCAGCCTGGGCAAAAAGGTAGCAAGATCCTGTCTCAAAAACAACATAAATGGTTGACAGAGTGGCTCAAGTGCTAGAATGCCTGCCTAGCAAGTGTGAGGCCTTGAGTTCAAACCCTAGTACTGCCAAAAACCAAAGAATCAAACAAAAAGAAAAAAACCAGGTACTAGTGGCTCATTGCCTGTAATCCTAGCTACTTGGGAGGCTGAGATCTGGAGGATTCGGGTTTGAGGCCAGCCCAGGCAAAAAGTGAGACCCCATCTCAATAAATATGCTGGTATGGTGGTGCACCTGCCATTCCAGCGATGGCAGGAAGTGTAAGATAAGAGGATTGAGGTCCAGGCTGGTCTAGTCAAAAAAGCAAGAAAATAACCAGAGCAAAAAGTGCTGGAGGCATGGCTCAAGGAGTAGAGTGTCTGCCTAGCAAGAGTGTGAAGCCCTGAGTTCAAACCACCAAAAAACAAAAACAAAATAAAAAAAGGACTGGGAGTGAAGCGCAAGTGGTAGAGTGCTTACCTAGCATGCATGAGGCCTTAGGTTCAGTCTCCAGTACTGCACTAAAAAGAAAAAAAAGCTAGCTTGTATGTATTTAGGGATTCAATTTTTTTTATTTCTTAAACTAAATGTAAACATATAACCAGCTACTTATAAATTTGGTGTAAGTTGAAAATGTGAATTTAGAGGAAAGAGAGAGCCAGAGGGGTTTATGTTGTTTCAGAGCAGTGAGCTATGGGGTCAGCTATCCCTATCAGATACTATGGAAGGTGACTGGCTCACTTGTTCAGAGAGGTGAGCCACAATGTCACATTAACAGCTCAGAAACCAGAGTTAGTCTGTTAGGGTTTAAAGTCTGATTTTACCTTTGCTGGCTAGTTGTGACTTTGGGTAGTTTACCTAAGCTTCAGTTTCTTCATCTGTACAATAACTAACTTAAAGAGAGGCTGTGAAGATTACATGAAAATGCATCTAACCTGCTTCATATGATGCTTGGCACTTGGTATATACCTCATAAATGTCAGTTATTATTGTTGTTACTAGTTTGATTGAACCTGACATTTCTTACTTTGGAATGGTAGAGAATGACTGCTTATCTTTTGGTGTCAGTGTCTACCTTGAGCAGTAAATATCTTTGGATTGTGACATGGATTTTTATATTCTCTAAGAAATTACTACTGTAAAACAATATGGGAGTGAAACAGTGACCTTTATTGAGGATGTTCAAGCATGAAAACTTGATGAAGTATTTTTCAGTTTTGTTTATCAAAATACTTCAGTTTTCCAGCTGGATCTGGGATTATCTGTTAAAAAAAACAAAAAATCAAATTATTCATTTTAAAATGCAATGGACATCATTGGTAGTTTTGCACTGGTTGCCCATTTTTTTTTTTTGGTGGTACTGGGGTTTGAACTCGGCCTCACACTTGCTAGGCAGGCACTCTACCACTTCAGCCATTTTGCCAGCCCTTTTTTGTGTTGGGTATTTTCAAGATAGGGTCTTGAGAATTTGCTTGGGCTGGATTTGAACTGCAATCCTCCTGATCTCTACCTCCTGAGTAGGGGATTATAGGCGTGAGCCACCAGTGCCCAGTGTAGTTGCCCATCTCTTGACTAAAGAATATACAAAGATTACTTTTGTATACCAAATTATATCACATATATTTAGGAAAAATTAGATTTGCCCTATTTATTAATCTCAGCTATCCCAAATTAATAACTCAAATAAATTAGAAATAATTTAGTTTTAATAAATTAACACCTATACTGAAGCAACCCAAAATTTACTTACAGCTCTTCTCTTGGCCACCAGGCTTTCATGGCATCTTCAGGTTTGATCTAGTTAAATCAAACACAGTGAAGAGCATGGCTACAGATGTTAATGTATTAGAATCACTAGTTGATTAAATGACTGTATGCCACAATAACCTGAAAGGGGGCAGTGTGTCCACTAAGGGTTTATCAAATGAATTTTTGGAGGTCTAGAATGCAACTTTTTGATTTCAAGCATCAAAGTTTTGTAAATCTATTAGACTCACAAACAACTTGAAATATAATTTGACCTCACATTAGCTGTGTTAGTTGCTAGTTAAAGGCAAAGTATACCTATCTTTGTATATAAAAAACCTATTGTAATCACTGTGATTCACTGATTATGAACAAGTTTCTCATGGGTTTGTAAAGAGTTTTGCCTTTGAGCTCAAAGTTAATGTTACAATACCAAGTTACACATCTCCACACAGGTCCGACAGATCTCAAAGTGGGGGTTGAGTTATGCATTAAGTGTATTTTGAGCACTTAGGACTTTAAATTATAAACTAGTCAGGAGGTTAGTTTATATTTATTGATTTTCAGGCTTGCAGATAGAAATATGAATCAGAGGCTGCTGGCTTAAAAAGCAGCTTAAGGGCTGGCAGAATGGCTTAAGAGAAAGAGCGCCTGCCTGGTAAGCATGAGTCCCTGAGTTCAAACCCCAGTAGTGTCAGAAAAAAAATAAGCAGCTTAAAAAGCATTTCTTTTTAAAAATAGTTTTTAGAATATTTTTGAATTAGCATATATTAATAACATGAGGGGATTTTATTGTGATAATTCCATACATGTGTACAGTGTACTCTGAATAGTCTACCCCCTCCATTACATTCCCATTCTCCCCTCTCCTCTCCCCCCTTTTCAAACAGGGTTTGGTGTGTTTCCTTATTAAAAAGTATTTCTTGATAGGTCTTCAAGGTAGGGGGTGCTTTAGCTTGCAGATATATAGCAAAAACAACTGTGACACTAATGAATGCTCTACCAACCACAGGCATGTGCTAAGTATCCAACTCCTGAGAGACAGTGAGAGCTCCCAAGGTAAACCAATTAACTATGAAAGGTATTATGAGTAGTATATGTTTCAGAAAACATGTTAACTATCCACGTGATTAACTTTTGGGACCCTTTGGGAATCTGATGAAAACTATGGATTCCCCTTCATAAAAATGCACATGTATCATCACATACTGTGTTTTATTTTATTTTTAAGTGACAAATAATAATTGTATACATTTATGGGTTTGCTTATTTTTGGTGGTACTGGGGTTTGAACTCAGGGCCTAGTGCTTGCCAGGCAAGCATGCTACCACTTGAGCTATGTCCTCAGTGCTTTTTGATTTTAGTTATTTTTCAGATAGGGTCTCTCTTTTTTGCCTGGAGCTGGCCTCAGACCATGACCCTCTCTCCCACCTCCTCCTGAATAGCTGGGATTACGTCTGTGCTCCACCATACTCAGCTTGTACATTCTTTCAACACACATTTATTTATTTTCTGAATTTGAGTATACTTGTCAAATTATTATGACAGCCAGACAGTACTCATTAGTGAACAATACAGCTAAGATTCCCTGCCCTTGGAGTTACATTCTAATTCTTATTTTAGATTGTGGCAAATGGGATGGTGCATATGGTGGGGAATAGAGTGGTGAGGAAGTCTCCAAGATGACATCTGAGTTGAAATGTGAGTGGAGGGAGTCTGTCATGAAGAGAGCAATGCAAAAACAACAGCAAGGGCAAAGGCCCTAAGGCAGGAAAGGGGCACACGAAGTTAAGAGAGTAAATTATTACTTTTGATTGTCTATTAAAGATAATGATTTCTTCCTTCAATGTTACAGTATTTTTCAATTTCCTAACTACTGCTTGAAGATGTTATTTAAGAAAAGGTTCAAGCAGGTTTCCAAATTGTATTTTGGCCAGAGATTAGTTCAGGAACATCTATAAATTATACAGTGTGCCTAAAAATGTACGTTTCAGTGTTTCCTTTCCTCAAATGACAAGGAGAGAATCATTAGTTTCAGTGTTCATTAAATGGATTTCCTCAAAGGCTTTTTACTACACATAGAAAGGTTTTGCTAAGTGACTGTTTTTGGGCTCATAATATAGGAAGAAAGTCCATACAAGACCTCTACATTTATTCTACTAAGTCTCTACTCTGCCCTTTGTTTTCGTTTTCTTTTTAAAATAGTACAGTTCTTTAGATATGTAGCTTTAAAATTAACAGCATTAAACCCAGTATTTTGCTTTCTCCTCTTCAGCTATTGTTCCTACAGTCCAGAGAATATCTGTACTCTTATGATTTCTGCTTAGCAATGTTTGCTTCAGTTATGAAATGAGGACAGTTCTATTACGAGGAAAAAGTATCCTAAGGTTGGCGTATACTTTTTGGCTCCAGGCATGCCTTTAACAGAAAATCAATACGACTTACTGTTTCACTACCAGGTTTCCAGCCAGCAGGGCAGACTAAAAGGATCAAAAATAGGGAAAACAAAGTTTAGAAACAGCTTAGTTTTCTTTAGCAACTCCTGAATTTTTTGTTTTGATATGAAATTGAAATTAACAGATTAATAAGAATATTTTCAGATCACCAAGCATTTGACTTCTGTTAGCTTGCCTGCATACTATGGAATTTTAGTCACGGAGCTTATTAGAAGGCAGCTAATTTATTTTCATTTTTACTAATTATGTTCAGTTACATTTACAATATAAGAAACTAAATTGAATGTCTAATAAAGTTGGATGTTTGGGAACCTGGTGACTGAAAAGTCTGGGCACTGCAAAAATTTCTCTGAATTCACATAAACTTCTGGTAAGCTTCTCTGTCTCAGATCCTCCAGGATTTTGTACTAATGCCATGGCTTGTCATTTGTCAATGATAAGACTTTAGAACATGCCCTGACTCAGGGAATGAGTTATATTTTTAAAGAAATATGTAACATGCTCTATTTTAATCAAAATCTGAGTTTTCTATTTAGCTGTTGCTAAAACTTGGAAGTGAAAGGATGAACAACTGTGATACCAAGTAACTTTGAGGATGATTACATTATTTTAGAAGCTAAATCCAAAACTGTAAACATGAAAATAAAACCCATACTACTAAATATTGCCATATTGGTACATTTTAAGTTTACAGAAACATAATTTGAAAAACTGTAGTAGCAGAAACTTTTCTCTGAGTTTATCCAAAAGGACTATGGAAATAATTAATATTTTTGCATCTTACTCAGTAAGCAGAATACACTAGTGATAGTTTGTTAGAAGCTCTTTAAAGAATGATTTGGTGTGCTAAAAGGATCTAATAAGTTGAAAACAATCAGAAGATTTTGGAACCATCCAAATTACTTTTAGGATAAGAAACCAAACTATGCCATTTCTCACATGAAAAAAATCAAAAGGTTAGAAGGGAAAGGTACCTTCTCCATGCTTGTCAGTATACTGGAATGCTTGAACCAAACGTAGTGTCTCATCCACAGATCTACCCACAGGAAGATCATTCAGAGTAATCTGTCTTAGGATCCCTTTGTCATCAATAATAAAGAGACCTCTGTGAAACACAAGAACAGTAAAGGTGAGCCCATTTCTTCTCAATTAAACAAGCATTACTTAATATACCATCTTCACAGAAGGTGCTGTACAAAATGAACAAAACATTACCTACCTACTCTACTGGCACACACACGCGCAAACATACACATGCAGCCCTCCCCCATCTACTGTATAATTTGGGATTATTACTGTTAAATTGTAGCTTTAAAATTTTGTTTCTGGCTATGAAGTGTATTTTTGTATTTACATCTACTTACGATAATCTGACTTTTCAAACTAGGTGCATGTACTATTTTGGAAATAAAAAGTAAAAAAGGATAATTATTGATTCAAATCAAATAAAATAGCTAATGCAGTATTAGATAATATTACTTGGCCAACCAACATTCCATGACTGTTTTATGCAAAAAATTGCCCTTTTTTCAAAGAATTCTATTATCATGTTGGCTCAAGTAACCCAGTGAGAGTTGTAAGCTACTGCCTTAGTTTTTCTCACTCCAAAGACACAGGCTTGCTAGATACTATATTTGTATCTAGGAAAAAATTACTGGAGTCAATTTAGAAAAAAGGTAAAAAAGAAAAAAAAAGAACCAGATACAGAGTTGGGGGACCTAGACTCAAGTCTGGGCTCTCTTTTTAATTAATTATATAACTATAGCTAATTTTATAGAACTTTATGAATCTGTCTCTTATCTATAAAAAGACAGGGTTGGCCAGAGACCTCTAAATAACCTCCCACCTCTAACAGTATATGATACCAAAGAGTTTTAATAGGGAATCACCAGTTCTTTCAAAGAGTATCTACAACATTTGTGCAAATACAGCAAAATAGTATTCCTTGATCAAAACTTCTATCTTCTTACTCATAAATAATATTTCTATGTGGATTACATATGTACTTGAAATTTCAAAATGTTAACCACTGAAAGGTACCTAAGAGTATGGCCTGAGTCCTCAAGATAAACACCATAGTCTTTTGAGATCTGATGGTTCAGGTCTGAAAGAAGAGGAATCTTTATTGATCCAAGTCCTCCTTGTCTACGAGGGGTATTAATCCTGCAACAAACAGAACACTTCTCAGAGCTAAGTAAATGGCATGTATTAAAACAGTTACCATTCATTCTCTACATATGCACGTGTGCATACGTGAACACACATAAGATACATATATTCTTCCTGTAACAGAAACAGGCTAATATACTTTCTGTTTTATTGCCTTTTCCCTACTTATCAATATATTAATGTTCTTCAAGCATTAAATGTTGATATATAACACATTTTTAATGTATAGACATACTATATTTTACTAATCTCTGCTGACAGACAAAACTTTATTTTTTTCTTTTATAAACACTGCTGGCAACATCCTTGTATTTTCATCTGATTAATTTCTAGAAGTGGATTTATAGATCAGAGGATATATACTGTTATAAACACAATCTAAGAACTGATCACAAGATAAAGGTTTGAGAGATAGGATACAATTGAAAGACATTTCACTATTCTGAGAGACACAGAAATACAAAGACCACATGAAACAGTGAAGAAGTTAGTTGTAATCTCTGAATACATCAGTCCTCAGATTTAAATATTCTGTAACTTGAAACAATAGGGCTTGTGGGCTGGTACCCCATAGGAGAAAACTGATATTCATAGAAAGAAAACATGGAAATACTCCTCCTTATGTCTCCAGCCCCAGATAGAACATCTAAGTAGAAATGTTTGGTTGGTATAAAACCTATCCAGCTGAGAACATATCCTCAAATTTCCTTGGGAAATCAATCCCAAATTATTTGGGATGACATAACTGTTTCCTTAGTAGACAAGCATTATAATCCTAGGAAGATTTAGAATCACTACAGAAATAATGAAGCAAATATGTCTAGAGTTTTGATATATTTATATTAAGAAATAATCAGTAAGTTACTTATAATGTTTAAGAGAATTTGTCATATTAGAATTAAGTCCCTGAGGTTTGTCTGAAAATTGAGATATTTTAGAAGGAAAAATATATAGAATATAAAACTGCATTTAAAAATAACTTCGCAACCAATCAGAATTTGTTGTATATACTCACACATATATGTTGTGTCTCTATATGTATATTTAAATTGTAAATGGAGAAAAACTTGTGTTTTGAATTTTTAACTTGATTGAAGTGAACATTAAATTTTAAAACCAAAATAATTGTGAATGATCTTTGTGATGCACAAAATTTTAAACAAAAAGTTGTGGATACAATTAAAAACTCACATCCACATTGATGTTTTAAATTTTGAGACATGTTGCAGAACTGCTTTCCAAAAATACCAAACCAATCTTGTGTGAGTACCATTTCTTCACACATCTGTCAACACTGGATGAATATTCTCAATTGTTTAAATCTTGGCCAATCAGACAGGGAGTAATGGCATCTCAACATTTTGATCTTTTGGCGTTATTGGGGTTGATCTCTTGGCCTCCTGCTTGCTGGGAAGGCAGTCTACTGCTTGAGCCATGCCTCCAGCTCTCATTTTGATCTTCAATCTTTGCAACTAATTAGCTGGAACATCTTTTCATGATGAATGAACTTTTAAAATTAGTTTTTAAATTAATTTTTAAAAATGATTGCTTCTTGAAAATTATAAATGCTATTATGTATTTGATCTACCACAACAAGGAACTGCATAACAGAAAAATGGTATAAAGATTTTTTTTCTCCAGATTTAATCATAATAATGTTAGTATGTTAAGAGTTATTTGTCAACCAGTTCACTTGGGAGGATGATTGTGATTTGAGGCCAGCCTGGCAAATAGTTAGAAAGACCCCATCTCCAAAATAATTAGAGCAAATGAACTAGAGGTGTGGCTCAAGTGGTAGAGTGCCAGCTTTGCAAGCATGAAGCCCTGAGTTCAAACCCCAGTCCCACCAAAAAAAAAAAAGAGAAGCTATTTGCCTATGATTTAAGAGTAAATCTATTATTTTTTTCTATAAATTTAAGTGTAAAATACTGACCAGGCCAAATGAGTAAACTGTGAATCAACAGAGCATGCTACCACTTCGGTATTTATAGATCTGAATTCTTCAATTCGGTCACCAAAAGCAATGATTTCAGTTGGACACACAAATGTGCTGAAAGTTTAAAAAAGAAAACAAGGAAACAAGTCAGTATTCTTAAAATGAGCATATATCTGAACTTTCAAATTACCTAATTTTTATAAACACCTCTATTATATAAAAATGCATATTAGTAACAATTTTATGATAATGAGTCATCAAGATTATATAGTCTAAAAGACTGTCATTTGATCAAATATTTGATAAATAAACTTTCTTCTTAAAACTCTATCAGTGATCAATGTTCCCTTCTTTACAGCAGAATCCCCATTTCACTTTTACTATAGTGCTTTATAACTTTCAAGGGTTCTATACAAATTTTACAATGTGTTGCTATTTCTTTTTATATTCCTACACCAACCCTATGAGCTAGATGCTTTTACCTGTGTTTTGGAGATGAGGCAACATTCTTCAGTCCCCCCACCCCTTCTGGATAGGTCCTCTTCCACCCCATCTCCCAGTCCTGTGCAGCCAGGGATTTTTATACCTACGACCCTCCTGTTGTCAGAAGGACATGTTTAGAGAACATTACCCAGAGAAGTTTTCACAAACCACTGTAGGGATGCTTTAAACTAACTGAGTTCTAACCAACATTCCAAAAAAGTGAAATAGAACAGAAAATACAGCATACATAGTAAGGATAAGTTATCGGACATATATATATATACATAAATGTATGTATGTCTGTGTTCAGTAGTCATATTCAAAATATGTAACAACCTTAACTTGAAGTTGGCTTTATCTCTAGAGTTTGCTGAAAGGGAACTGTTTATTTTCTGGTATGTTAGACTAATTTTGAGGTCTGCGGTTAGTGTTATATAATAACTTTCCAGTTTTATAACAACCTGAACATAGAAGGCAGATCTTTTTTTTTGGTGGTACTGAAGGTTTATCTCAGGACCTTGTGCTTGCTAGGCAGGCACTATACCACTTGAACCACACTGCCAGTCCTGGCCTATCATTTTTTTACATCAAGATTTTTACTTCTGACTTCTGTTAGAAATTAGCTTATTTATTTTTTAGCTAGTCAAATCACAATACAAGTTGGTTAGAAAGACAACTTGTTTAGTCTTAATGTACCCATTTTTATGAGAATTCTTTCTATTTGGCTTAGTACAGGGGTTGGCAAACTTTGGTCTGTAAGTCAAATCTGGCTTTTTGGTAAAATTTCAGGGGAACAAAGTGATAGTGATACATTCATGTTTTGCTGAGAGCTGCTTGCGTGCTACAATGGTAAAGATGAACAGCTGCACAGAGATCACAAGACTAAAATATTTACTATTTGGTGATTTATATAGAAAGTTTGTTCAACTCCTGGCCTGGAGACACCTATATAAATGAGTTTAAGTACACCCTCTCTGCAAGGTTATTTTTTCTTTTTGGTGCTGGGGATCAAACTTGGGGCCCAGAGTAGGCAAATGCTTTATCACTGAGCTACACCCCTCAGCCCCAGTTTAATTTTCATCTACACAGTTCTAGATTAGTCCTAACTGAAAAAGACACAGAGATAGAGGGATTTTTTTAAACTTACTTTTTGTGATAAAAAATTCAAGAAGAAAAAAAAGATAAAGGTTGAGCTGACTGTCTTTTTGGTCTCTTTTCACTTTCATAATAAATAAGGCATACACAGAATAGCATTTTTCAAAATAATATTAAGTCCTTTTTTTTTTTTGCAGTGCTGGGGTTTGAACTCAGGGCCTACACCTTAAGCCACTCCACCAGCCCTTTTTTTGTGATGGGTTTTTTTTGAGATAGGGTCTCTCGAACTATTTGCCTGGGCTGGCTTTGAAACACAATCCTCCTGATCTTTGTCTCCTGAGAAGCTAGGATTACAGGTGTGAGCCACTGTGCTCAGCTTAAAATTAAGTCCTTGATGTGAATAAATCTACAAGAGTATTACCACCTACAAAAATGCTGTTGGTGTTAAAGGAAAAAACCCCACAGTAACCATAAAATGTTGAAAGGGATTATATTTTCAGGAAAATAATCTAATCCCAGGAAAGTAATGAATAAAGAATAAAAAATGACAAAACTACTGTATTAAACAGAACTATGTATTAAGTCTTGATACCAACTGCCTTGTAAAATATCATCAGTCCACTTTCTTGGCTTAGTAGATATTAATGAATACACTGTAGCTTTTCTCTAATTATTCCAGTATATTCCATATCATGAAGATATGAGAGTAATTAGGTCAATGGGTTATGATTCTGAGATATAAGGTAGATGTTATCCTTTTGAATAAAGTCATCTCTGCCTTTTGAAGAACTGACAGTTGAATACAAATTTCTAACTATTTGAGGTTCTTAATAATGAATGATGAAGACAGGGGTTTTTATAGCTGCTATTTACATGTATTACTTACAAATCAAGTGGGTAGAAGAAAAACACCAAGTATTTCCCACGGTAATCAGTTAACTTGAGCTCCTTGAATTCTCCATTTATCACAGCTGTTCCTTCCCAATAAGGGGCTGGCTTAGAAACTAAGAAAGAAAAAGACATGATGTTCTGTAACACTGAGAAAGCTGGTGGAATAGCAAAGGAGATCTTTAGAAAAATCACTAAAAATTAGGGCTTTCAAACCCCTGGACCTCATTGGAAGTCTGGTGACACAGACTTCTTAGAACTTAAGTGTTACTGAATACATAAAATACATAGAATTAACTTAGTGTTACTGAATAGATAAAATACACAGAATTACAGAGGAAACCAATTGTAATGAAACACAGCCATCAAAATATTTAAAAATTGGTGATACAGTAATACATGTGCTCTTTAATTAACACTTTAAAGCTGCAAGATCTGGCAGTGATCTTATAACTACCTAAGCTAACGATGAGTGTGAATGATATTTCAGACTAACTGAAATAACTGTAACACAGCATGAACATCTTTATGATTCTATTGGCAACAGGTACAAGTGAGTATTGCTGAAGCTAGTGTAGTCTGTTGTTGATGGCCATAAAAGGAGGAATTTTAGTTGGGGGTTAGTGAAAATAAAGTCTTTTTATATAAATTTTATTATCATTATAGCTATATAACATTGAATAATGGGAAGACTTCTTTTGGTGGTAAAAATGGGGGGTTGAACTTACGGCCTCACGCTTGCTAGGCAGGCACTCTACCACTTGAGCCACACCATCAGTCCATTCTGCATTGGTTATTTTTGAGATAGCGTCTTGATTTATGCCTGGGCAGTTCTGAGCTGTGATCCTCCTATTTGTACTTTCCCAGGTACCTGGGATGACAGTCATCCATTGGTTGAGATGGGCAAACTTTTTGCCCTGGCTGACCTCAAACTGTGACCCCCCTGATTTCTGCCTCCCAAGTAGCTAGGATTACAGGCTTCAGTTATGAACATGCAGCAAGACTTTTTTTCTAAACCTAGTGGATACTTCACTACAGCCCCTCCAAGTTACCAACTTCCTACATTTCAAATAATTAGACTTTCTTTTCTCTAACGGCAATTCTCCAGATGTACTAATTTAGTTTGTCTGGCTTCTCACATATACAGGGAGGGCTTGCTGTAGATGAGTTACACTGCAGGAGGAAATGCATAAATCCATTAGGCCAGAAGGGTACAATCCCAGATCCTAGTATAATTTTCTAGAAGGCTTTGGAAAAAAGAGACCCCTTTGAACAGGTTTCAAGTGGCCTGTTGGAAAGTGAATAGTTAGTGTTGCTCTCTTGTAAGGGTATACTGTAACTCTAGCCAGCACCCTTTGATAATAATGTACCTTCATGTCATTGCCACATTTGGATGGCATTTATACTTCAGAACTACTACATACATTGAGGGCAATATTTGCTTTCAAGTTTGACTAAGGTCCCTAAAAAAGTAAGGCCTATACTTTTATTTAACTGCCACTCTACACAGACAAACTAAAGATGAATTCCTGTGAAGTTCATATATCACATGTGACTACTTACCTTCAGACAGAAGCCATATAAATAATCCTGATCTGATTAGAAAAAGGCAAGGAGGGAAAATTAGGTAGGAGAAGGGTACTGAACCAAGTATGCTTTGTATACATTACGTAAAATGCAACATACTTTAAGTGACCTGTTATGATAAAACTCAAGGATTTTAGCATATTGGGAAAACCATGTCAGAAATAAATATTGTTCTGAAAATTGATTTTGGAAATTTTGGTTCTTAAGAACTGCAGTTACTTTGCTAAGATCTATAATAGAATTCTCAAAGCAGCCCCTTGCATCTATTAAAAACCAAAAAAAATTGTCCTGAATATAAATTATATAATTAACATAAAGATTCTGGTAAATGCAAAGAAGTATAATAAAGAATATTTACTTCTCCTTTCTCTATAACCCCTGCCAATTTAACTGGTGTTAAAATTTTGATGTACTCCCTTCCAGTCTTTTTTAAACACACAGTTTGGTCATGTTGCACTTCCATTTCTTTTTTCCCTCCCCTTTTCTTAAAGGAAATGATAAATTATAACCAATTTTTGATAATATGGCCTCAAGGCCTCCATATTATCTCATTCAATGAATTAAACTCGGTGTCTCTCTAATTCTAGATAAGTCTGTATCTGACACAGAAATGTAGCAAATAAAATATGAAAAGTTTTCTGGTAAAAGGAAAGTTATTATTACTAATTTTTTTTTTTACTTCCCAAAGCAGCTTTGGAGTGGTTTTGTTTTCAATACAAAAGAAAATGCCAGTAAACATTTAACTGGCTGACATATTTCAAAATATCTTCTCAGGCAAGTTAAACTAATGGGACTTGGAAATGCGATGATTTTAAAAGTACAAGACTAGCTTTCTATTTTTTTGAGGGGGGTGGTGGTACTGGGGTTTGAACTCAAGGCCTCACACTTGCTAGGTAGGCACTCTACCGCTTGAGTCACTCCACTAGCAAGACCAGCTTTCTCACGACAAAATGTATATATATACATATCTGTCTATATCTATATATCTATATCCTTTCAGTGTGAAAGAATTACAAACGTTTAAGGAGGCAAAACGGTTTCTTTTTCCATTTAGCACTCCCCACCCCATCCTGTAACAACATTCCATTCATTTATGTCTGGGGATTCATAATTGGGAAGTATTATTTTTTTCACAGAACATTGGCATGGAGCATGCTGTAACAACCATAAAAGTCAAATACACACCTACAGATTGTCAAATGATCCGTAGGAAAAGTGGGTTACTGAAAAGTAAGCATGGGATAGTATTTATCTTTATCCTCTGGTCACTGCTTTTTGGCTAATCTTAACATGCAGATACAACAGGCTACAACTTTCTCGGTATCCTTAGTCTGACGTGTCCTTCCTGAGAGTGGCCATTAGCTTTGTACACTGGACAGGAATTTTGTACACTGGACAGAAATGCAAATAATCAGATTGGCAGGACACAAATTTGTCACCAGATTTATCATCAATCCAATTCTGTTACTTTCAACCTCCTTTTTCCGTTTCCCTCCCAAGTACACTCTGTAACTGATTATTTCTGAGAAACACAAAGAAGTAACCATACAACTTTTGAGGGAAGATGGCTTTTAATAATCGTCTTTGTAATATGCAACAACAAAAAAGAAAAACGTTTGACCTCTTGAACATTTTGTTTAGCCACTTTTCTGTTTAATCAAACTTTCTGTGAATCATTATTCAACTTATCAATGTACTTTCTTCCCTGAAATAGTACTTGAAAAGAGACGTGAATGCTGCAGGCACTTTACGATGTTCAAGGAAGTGTTTCGGTTTGCACAACATCCTCAAAGTCCGCAAACCCGGGACTACAGACACCCTCTTTCCCTCGGCTGCGGCTTTTGGGGTAACCACTAATTCTTCCAAAATCTGATCAGTGGAAACCATCCCTTTTTTCACAACTGGAACCGTTCCCCATCCTCCCTCCCCCAAGAGAACCAGGCAGACCCAGGGCCGGGAGGCAGCCCAGGGTGTGCCGCCTAACTCCAGGGCCCAGGGTAGCATCCATATGCACCGTCCGCGTGTCTCTGGGTTCTCCCCACGCCCCCACCCTACCCTTGGCAGGGTACCACCTACTCTTGGCTTTGCTTAGGTGCAGGGAGTGGTCTGCGACTGATATCCGGGACGCCTCTCCTGGGTACACTTGTCCACCTGCGTAGAAGTGGCACTCCTCTTCGCGGGTCCGGGGCCTCTCCTCTGTCTCCAAGCCCTGCAGAGCCCTGGTCGACAGCAGGAACAGTAGCAGAGGCAGCAGCAGCAGCAAAAGCAGCTTTCGGCTCCAGCCACTGGCTGGACGCATCCCGGCTAGCAGCCCTGGCGGCGCCTCCATGACCACGCGAGCGCGAAAACACGTCCCTAAGCGCGAGCACGAGTTCTCCCGCCGCCAGCAGCCACAACCGCGTGCACGACACCCGCGCGAGCCAGGGCGCGGCCTCGCGATACCTGCTCCGCCCCACTCCGCCCCCGCCCCCTCTCCTGCCACGTGGGCTCCGGCCCCACCTTCTCGTGTCTCTCCTCCCCCCCCCCCACCTCGCGGTGGGCTTTTGCGCCTGCGCCCTGCGGGTGGGCGAGGGCAGAGCCTTGCTCAACTCTGCAAAGGCTACTTTCCAGGCGTGGCTGGTGACCCGTTTCCCAAGCTCACGCCTGTAGGATTGTTTTGGACTTTCTCGCACGTCCATCGCTTCCACAAAGCCTCACTCGTGCACACTATCGTCTCAAAAGTTGAAACTAACCAATGTTCCTGTGAATGGTTTGCATTTTATATCGCTCAAGAGACTTTTCGAAAGTCACTTTTGGATTGTGGGTGTGGCTCAAGTGGAGAGCGCCTGCCTAGCAAGCTCGAGGCCCCAAGTTCAAACACCAGTATCGCCAAAAAAAGAAAAAAAAAAAGCAAAGCACCATTAAACATTTTAAATTGGAAAGTCGTAATTGTATACATTTATGGGATACAATGTGATATTTTGATATATGTGTACAGTGTTGTACTGATTAAATCAAATGAGTGAACATTTCACCTCATTTACTTTTCATTTTTATAGTAAGACATTTGAATTCCCTCTAAGTTATTTTGAAATATACGTTATTACTGACTACCCTGCTAGTTACCAGAGGCTTAGGTGACTAGGAGGTTTGCTGACATGGAAAGTTGTTGGTCAAAGGGCACAAAGTTTCAAATAGGAAGAATAAGTTTAAAAACGAATAGACGTTTATTTTTTTTTCCTTGAAGTGATTTGTGTGAACTAGTTGCAGCCCTTTTAAGTCCTGGGAAAAATTAGAGAAGATAGGTCAAATCATTTACACTTCTCCAGCTACCAAAGACAGGTTTTAGTTGACTTAAAGATTTTTTTTTCCCATCCAAGATTTGAAAAGTTACCAGAAAACACCCACTCCTAGCACAGGTGTCAATTTTCTGACAATTACTTCATCTCCCACCCTCGGCCTCTTTGCCGCTCCTGGCCCATCGGCCTCCCCACCCATGATGCACCGGTGCGACTTCTTTGTGGCGTCACTAGTGACAGGTCTTCCGCCCTCGTCCTGCCACTCTCCCATCCACCGCACTGTTTTAGACCCTGCTCATCCTTGTAGGTCCATCTTTTCCACAAAAAATTGCCTATGTGCTATTATTGTGACTGGCTTCCTGCCCTCAGCTTTGTGTTACACCTGACATTCCCTTCCCATCATTCCAGATTTTTCTCTTACATGGCTTTGGTTTCATGGGTAACTGGTTTCCTGCTGTAATCTGCCTGCTGCCCTCAGAACTGTTAGACCCACTCATTCTTCCACAAAGCCTCTCCATCGCATGGCATTATCCCCCAAAGTAGAATGGCTGCAAATGACTTGCATTATATTTCTCTAATAGACATTTATTCTTTTCCTTGCAGTGACCTGTGCAAACAGTGCCCTAACTCCCCTTCCTGGACGTGGGGGCCCTTTTGGTCTGGGGAAAACTTGGAGAAGAAAAGGTCTAACCTTTTTTTCTGGTATCTCTCTAGACCATTTCTTCTCTTTTGGAAGGGAAAGCAGACAGTTTGGTGACTTAAGAGTGACTCGGGTGGGAGTATTTTTTAAAATCAAAACTTGTAGCTGGGTATTGATGGCACATACCTGTAATCCCAGCACTTGGGAAGCTGAGGCAGAAGGATTGTGAGTTTGAAGCTAGCTTGGGCTACAATAGTGAGAGTTCCAGGCTAGCCTAGGCTACATAGGGAGACCCTTTCTCAAACAAAACCAAACCTTAAAAACCTTGAAAAGTTTCCAGAAAACCCTTTCTCCCTGGACATCGTCATTTCATCTTCTGATATTTATCCCATTGTCTAGGGTGGTAGGGTTCAGGAAAGAGACACTGAGCATAACAGAAAGATAGGAGCCATCAGCAGCCCTTATGCCCCAGGTTCCCCTGTGTCTTTCTGGGAGTTCTTGTCATTTTCTCATTCTAACAGAAGCCATCCTAGCAGTTTGTCTTTCATCTGTTATAGACTGTCAGCTTGCTGGGGCAAAAATAGTTGTCTAATTGGTCTCTGTTTTCCAAAGAACCTGGTACAAGATAAGCATTTGACATTGTAAACACTTCATTTGGTAAGTTAACATGTAATATTCCAAGCAGCCTGTCTTAGTTTCAAGTTGCTTTCACAATTTTTTTTGGCAGTACCCGAGTTTGAACTCAGGGCCTCCTGCTTGCTAGGCAGGCACTTTACCACTTGAGCCACTCCACCAGCTCAATCACATATCCTAGGCTCCTTCTGACAACCCCTTGAGATAGAAAATCTGTCCTTTCCAAAACCACCCCTCACCCTAATTTTGCCCCCTTTATAGAGTTTCTGCTTCCTGGACCCTACTTCCTGTGGGTAAAGGATGGAAAAGATGAAGCCAGCCCCCGGGAGGGAGGGAGAATATGTCCTTACTCATAACATTTTCCTGCAGCTCTTCACTCTCTGGAGGCCCGTAGGTAAGAGTCCGCTGACGAGAAAGAGGTAGTTCTCGCTCCCATTCTTCTCCTTCCCTGGCCTCCTGTTCCACATGGAAGGGGAGTGGAGCCCTGGGGGCTCGGGACTGAGTCCCAGGAATTCTGCTCAGGCCTATGCTACGAGATCGGGTTCGGTGATCCATGGTGAGTCTTCGACAAACAGCAACAAGTCTTAGTGAGTTTGAGGCCCTGAGCTGGGCCCCTAAATTTAGACCGGGGAAAGGCAGCTAGGGGAGAGCGCTATGTCCCTATACCTCTTTGCCCTTGGCAGGGCTGAGCTGTCCCAGTTGGGATCAGGGACTGCTCACTGAGTGGGCCTCAGTGAACCCCCTGCCCACTGGGGAGAGTGACCAGGTTGGCCAGCTCCCAGGCACCTACTCTGTGTCCCTCAGTTCACTGAAACCCCTTGGCAGCTGCCATTCTGAGTGTCAGCTGTTCTGAATCCTTTCATCCAATGATATTTGTGCAGATATTGTGCTGTCACAATGACATCCACCAGGAAGGTTGAAGTGGGGGCCCCGCCCTTAAGGCACTTACCATCCAGCTGTAGTCAGTTTCCCATATTAATAATACAAAACCATCAGACACAGAGGAGTGGTTCCAAACCCAGGGTGCACCTCAGAAATATATGGGGAGTTTAAAAGTAATCAGGTACAGGGAAGCACAGCCCAGAGATAATGTTAATAGTCCCTTGGGGGACCAGCCACCAAGAATATTTGGTTTCGCAAATGGGCATATCTGGTTAAGAACCACCACTGATTGAGGTTGAGTGGAGATTCTGGGGTCAGCCTTTCTAGGTTCAAGTCTTAGCTCTGCCACTTATAGGCCTTAAGGCCTCCAGAAATTCAACTTCACTGAGAAGTTAAATTTTCATCTGCAGATAGAAAGCAAAAATACTAGACAGGCACTGATGGCTCATGCCTGTAATCCTAGCTACTTAGGAGGCAGAGATCAGGAGGGTCACTGTTTGAAGCCAGCCCAGGCAAATAGTTTGTGGAAACCAATCTTGAAAATATCCAACACAAAAATGGGCTGGTGGAGTGGCTCAAGTAGTAGAGTGCCTGCCTAGCAAGCATGAGGCCCTGAGTTCAAGCCCCAATAATACGAAAACAAACAAACAAAAAATCAAGCAGTAAAACTTTCCTCATGTTGTGAAACTATAATGAAAGGATAAATGTAAAGCCTAACTTTGGACGTGGGCCAGACTTAGGGATTCACTTCTAATAACTATGGTATAAGTAATGTTTTGTAACTTCTGAGGCTAGGTCAGAAAAAGGACCGCTTTTGTCTTATTCTTAGGTTACTCATTCTGGGGGAAGACTTTTTGTCTAAAATTTTTATCGAGCTAAAATTCACAAAACATATATTTTTTTCATTTTAGAGTGTATAATTCAGTGTAGTTCATAATGTTGTGCTTTGTACTTACCTTACTGTATCTAATTCCAAAACATTTCCGTCACCCCCAAAGAAATCACATGCCTATTATCACCCTAAGTCCTTCCTTCCTCCACCATTCCCTGGCAATTAATGTGTGTTCTCTGTCTCTCTCTCTCCTGTCTCCCCCTCCTTCCCTCCCTTTCTTGTAGACCTTCTTTGCTCCTTTCTTCTGTCCCCCCTTCTCTCTTTGGATTTGCCTCTCTGGGCATGTCATATAAATTGAATGATACAATATGTGGCATTTGGTGTCTGGTTTCTTTTATTTAAGCATATTTTCAAAGTTTGTTCATGTTGTGTGATGTATTGGTACTTTATTCCTTCTTTTATTGTGATAATATATGATACACACACATATATATTAAAATTTACCACCTTAACTATTTTTTTTGTGGTACTGTGATATCAACTCAAGGCATACACCTTGAGCCACTCCACCAGCCCTTTTTTGGTGATGGGTGTTTTTGAGATAGGATCTCATGAACTGTTTGCCTGGGCTGGCTTCGAACCACGATTCTCCTTCTCTCTGCCTCCTGAGTACCTAGGATCACAGGCGTGAACCACTGGCGCTCAGCTCACCTTAACTATTTTTAAATGTACAGGTCAGTCTCATTAAGTACATTCATAGTATTATGCACTCATCACCATCATCCTCTGGAATTTATCATTTTCCCAACGCAAAATTGTACCTATTGAACAATAATTCCTTATTATCTCTTCCTCCCAGGCCCTGGAAAAGAACATTCTACTTTCTGTCTCTATGATTTGACTACTGTAGGTATCTTATATAAGTAGTGCCATACAATAGTCGTCCTTTAGTGTCTGGCTTTTTTCACTTGAGCTTAATATTTTCAAGGCTCATCTATGTTGATGCATGTATTAGCACTTTATTCCTTTTTATAGATGAATATTATTCCATTATTGGTCATAGGAATTTTGTTTATTCATTCATAAGTTGATAGCTATTTGGGTTGTTTTCATGTTTAAACTATTTTGAATAATAATGACATGAATACTCATGTACAAT